GGGTGGATGTGATTACACAACCGTTTGCCACATGACTAAGTATATGTTGTTTGCTATGTTTCAGTTACATAAAATAAAATAACTATGTTACTGAAACATAGCAAACTGCCGGTAATGCCTAAAATAACTATGTTACTGAAACCTAGTAAACAACATACTCTTAGTCATGTGGCAAACGGTTGTGTGATCACATCCACCCATGACAGCTGAACGGCATTAAAATACCAGGGCAGGTGTGCCCTGCATAGGATCGGTGTACAAATATGTCCTATCTATATCCCGATCAACAACCGGCAAAACATCGATCTCAGGGGTTAGGGCGTTCGCCCCTGACCGACAAAATATCGAGCCCGATATCTCAGGGGTTAGGGCATTCGCCCCTGACCGGGCCAAAACATCGAGCCCGATAGCACAGGGGTTCGGTCGTTCGCCCCTGACCGGAATGACGTCTGTTCGAATCTCGAGTGTGGCGGCAATTTCCGCGGCTACACTGGAGTTGCGTATCTGCATCTGATGCGACCTAATAAGGTCCAAATACGTATAATGCAAGTCCCAATGTTTCTGCTGGTAATTCCTAAAATAACTATGCTACTGAAACATAGCAAAGGTCCTTATGTACTATAGCTGCCTAGTTAAATTTTTAAGTAGGTTGAATTACCTATAATCTTCCGGTTTTCTACACGATATCCATCGATCCAGCAGGGGTTGGCTGATGGCATTAAAATGCATACCGGCTCTCCTGAGGCAACCCCATTCCAGAACTGCTAAAATCAGCAAACTAAGCAAAGTTGACCTTGAACAAACCACGGGAATTATCACTTACTTACAAATTTTAAGTAGGGTGGTTTGCATAATCCCCCCACTTTTGTATTTCGGAAAACTTTTTCCCGGTTGATGTTGATGATACCACTAGAAAATGTCTATCAGTTACCTTGCCCGAGGTTTGGGCACACTCCCCTAACATACATGCGTTCGCCGTTGGTCGGGCGATGATATTAAAGCTCATTTCAGTGTCTTCTCCCAAGGTTTGACTACGCGACCCAACTTGCCCTCGTAACTTTTGTATTCAACATAAACAATGGGATCTTATTTGTTCCCTGATATGCCCCGCCCGTCCTCTCCGCGGGAGCCTGCGGGGTGCACTTCACACTTTCCTCAGACGATCCCACGACACAATCCTACCGAAATAGTTTGTCAAAAACTGTCCGGAGGAACGAAAGGTATAAGGTGATCAATTATATATCAGGTGGGCAAATGAGACCATAATGCGACCATTACCGTCCAAGGTTTATAGATGAGCGCTTTGTTCACATCATTTGTGATACAAAATATACCATCTACAGTATCTGCGTGATTCGCCAGTTTTGTGGTGGACGCTGCCGGCCAACG